AAAAAAATTGCCTAATCAATATTCATGTTTATCCAAGATTGTGCTTGTCAGTGTAGGTAAGCACACAGCATGTTTTCTGCATATTAAGTCAAATATTAGTATCTGCAGTTGATATCACAAAATAGATAAAAATGAATAAAACAGCAGCTTGTGTCCATTTTAAAAAGCTACAAAATTCTTTATTCTTCTCACCTCATTTCAAGGTCTTGGTTGTCTTGGGGGGTAAATTCGAACAAAGCCACATAAGTATTGAGCTGCAGTGGGTCCCTCTTCAGCTCTCTGTTTGACTAGAGTTTAAACATAAAGGGACATAAACAAGCAGAGACTATTACACCACAAATCAACAGAAATGATGCTGAAAATGTGTGCGGGGGAAGAGCAGGGCTAGTTGTTACTCTCTTTAATCCAGTTAATACTTCTCAGTCTGATATAAAGATAAATACAAGCCTTTGTGTAAAAAAATAGAAATCAGAATTAAATTCTGAGTTTGGAGAATTACTTTCGATTTTATTGCAGGTTTCTTTTCTTTTTTATGTAATGCAATTAAAAGGAAAATATTTAAAATAATAACATTATATATAGTTAAATAAAGATTGATTCCACAATCCAAACATTACTGGGATTTAAATATTCTCTAAGGTGGGGGGTGTTACTTAAATTTGGACTTTTTCCACGAGCTCCTGGGAAATTGGGAGTTCAAGCAGGCACACGCACGCACGCACGCACAACTGGCCTAAGAATAGTTCAGATGTGATTAAATCCTGACTCAGAATCATAAGTGAATGAAGTGCATCTAGCTGCCGCATATCAAATGTCAGAAAGAATCGACACTTAAATTTATGACTAAGGTTCATTATAAAAAGCATGATTTTCCTCTGGCCTGAAATATCATGACCTCTGTGTCTCAAGCACTGGTGCTACACAGCAGAAATCTTTGTCACTTTAACTTTGTGTTCAATGAACTGTACAGTGCAAAAGTTCAATAGCTTCTTGGTAGTAATGATTTTAAGGTATGTGCCTATACTGACTGACCCACAGACACATGAAGATGGCTTAATAACCATTATGAATCTTATAATAAAGTCTTTAAAGAGAGATGTAGTGATGCTTACAGGTGATTCTTCTGATTTCCTTTCAACAATATGAAAATGTTC